CCACAATTTCTGTATCCATTCCTCCGTTGATGGACATCTGGGTTGTTCTTTTAAATTGTAGTTTCTATCCTTTATAGATTGATAAAGCCTTTCTACCTAGATTTAGAGCTGTAGTTTTTAAACTTCATATGTATCTTGCTTGCTATTTGTTAAACCCATTCTCTAATAATGTGAAATGATTTTATAGCTCTATGTACCAAAAAAGAGGTGACAGAATTTTAAAGGTTAAAGGCAAAATTTTCATCGAAGAAAAGCAATCTTACCTCATTCACTAATAATAGTAATGGATGAGCTTTTTGGACATTTTTCATGTAACAGGCAATATTCCCAGTCTAGTTTTATGCATAGAACACTGAAATCAACTTTAAAATCTAAGTGGTGTGGCTGACCTCTACAAAGCAAAGCACTGGGAATATTTGAACATGCCCAGTCAACAAAAATGGTCATTTAAACACAGGACTAATGTCCTGAGAGACTTTTACCTATCAGAATCCCAGACTAGCATATTCTATAGGGCATGGGCTCACTGCACAAGGCTGCATGTGCAGGTGGTAAAGATTGGGATAAGTGCACAGAAGTAAAGGGGAAGGAACAGCTCTGCAGTAGCCCCGAGCTCTGTGCCATAGGCCTGTCTCTAACCAGTATGCTGTGGTTCTGAGATTGGGTGGTATCTACAAGTACTTGCAAAACACAGGTTCATTTTTTATTATTCTATTTTCTTGTGGGTCAGAAAGTATTATTTCCTGATGGGTTCATTATATTTCATATGGGAACAAAGACCATGTGTCATACATTTTCTGACTCCTGTAATGCCCAACATAATAACATCGCCCAAAAGCTATTTTAAAACTGTATAACCATTGATAAATTAAATAATTACATAGTGCCAAATCACGAAGAATATATAAAAAAGAATAATTCAATGGCCAGAAATGTGATAAAGTCTTAGAAGTTGGGAGATTGCCTCGGGGCCTTGAGGACTCAGTGTCTTGTTGGGATATAATGCATTTCTTTTTTCAGGGTAGGTGGCAGCACAGACAGAGGATAATTTTTTAAACGTTATCTAGGAGAATTTAGATTGCATAGTTCTCTTGGTTTTCTCATCCCACCAAGTCTACAGAATTCCCATGTTGTTTGTAAAAATTAAGTCTGAGTTGTATGAGTTGCATGATGGGGTAAATATCACTGGGGAAAAAAACCCTTCAAATTAAAGTTTTTATAAACTAATTTAGGTAATATGAATTATGCTTGATCTACTCTACAGAATAAAAGCCAGGCTACCCTGAATTTTTAAATGATAATAACTTGGATAAATTAATAAATAACCATTTCAAAGGACTAAGGTTGGTGAGATAACTGCTTACTTAAATGAATATTTAATGTCTCATAACTCCAAATCTTTTAAAGGAACATCATAAAATTCAGGATATCTCTTTCCTAATTTCTCTATTGTTACACACTCTATATACTATGCCTGAGATGCTCCCTATGTCAGCTGTGAAGATATTTGAGTCATAACAAAGTGAAGAAATATGCCTATGAGAGAAACAGTCATATCTCTAAACAGTAGAATTTTAGCCTAGTCTTCAAACTAACACACAGTGTGAGATGTTTGGCATAGTATCAAAATATCCACATGAGGTTTCCTAAAGTGTGAAACCTGAAGATCTCCAAAAGGAACCAAACTTATATTGTCTCTCTTCTGCCTGTTCTATAGCAAAGTACCCATAATTCAAACTGGGTAATTAGAAGGCACCTTTTTTTTATTTTTTTTTTAACAAATCCACTTAGTTCATATTATTGAATTATTGAAAATGTTAAGTCCACAAATGCACTGCTTTCCCTGTTCAACATTATCAATAACATGATTACTAAACTGTGGTCATAAGCATAGAAAGTCCTTGATAGAAGGTGAACATTTTAAGTTTAACTGAGATGATTTTGAGAAATACAGAGATATACAGAAAATAATATTATGTATGAAGTTAGTAGTAGTCGGAATTGAATGTGGAAAGGCATCTTTGTAACTTAATACAATTATACTGTGCATACATTACAGACAGGTAGACAAATAATTGTAAAACAAATAAATATGAAGGTGACATGTACCTAGGGTCTATGTCTACATATGTACTACATGCTTAACATACATGCAATGTTTATATATACAGACTATCACTCTGTATCTGTTCAATAAGTGGAGGGTGAAACATGTAATATGCAAGTATGTTTTGCAGCTATCTACTGTATGTATCTTAGAAAACTACTACAACAAAGTTTTGATATTTATTCTTTTACTTATTCTATTGCCATAGACACTTTAAATATTTTTTCATGTGTTTGGGAAATTATTACTTTAGACAAATATATTTAATTAGTAATTTTCATGTTTGGACTAGTATTCCAAAATATGACTATACAATATGTATGAAGTCCTATATAATCTCTTATTTACTCATTTATTGCTACATGTAATGTCCTTGTGCACATTTTCAAGTTCTTTAATGAGAGCAACAGTTTTAAGGCATAGGCATTTAAGACACATTTTTAACAACCTGATGTCAATGATTACTTCCATTTTCTTTGTACTCATTCATCCAGAGTTAGCACAGAATGGCATAGATTTCACATTAAGTGAGTTTATCCATGGTGCTATGTAATAAATGCATCAGTAAGGTAAAAGAAAAATGAACTCCTAGACTCCCAGAGTTCACTCAGTTTACTGTAGCAGAAAAATCGAATGAGGAGAACATGGAGTCCAAGGATGACATCAAGCCTTCTCAGTTCTATAATCAGCCTTTGTATGTACAGTTCTAGATATCTAGAACTTCACTGGACAATCACAGGCAGCAGCAAGCACATCCTATGTTGCTGAAACCAAAGTTGCCATGGCCTCTGGATGTGAACTTACCCTGTCCAGAGCTGCTTTCTCAAGTTCATTTTTGGCTACAGCTAACTTTTGTTCCAGTTCAGTGAGCTGTTGGGCCTGTAACAGGAAAGAACAGCAAAACATTTCAGTATAACCTGTAATCTGCCCTACACATTTGTCCTTTACTCTAGAAGGATTAAAGAGAAAGAATATAGCGTGTTAGTTTAATTTTCATATTAAAAACACAAAGTTACACAGTCATTTGGTATTGATGCAGAGAAGAGTGTGATCAGAATAAATGAGGACTGACATCACAGGGGCTGAAACACCTTTGTAAAGACTGGCTCAAAACATTCTTATATTTGTAAGTCCTCTTACCAGAGCTGGTTCTATTCCTTAGGGACTAAACTGTGTTTTCACAACTTCCTGTGCTGATGCCTCACTGTCCACTTGACTTTTAATTTTTTTAATTTGGTGATAGAGCAACGGAGACCATAATTAGGTTTAAATAAAGTGCTCTCTGTCAGTCTGTCTGTCTCTCTCTTTATAAAATATAAACATCATAAAACACTCACTGTGAAGCTATCATCACCAGATCACCGAGACTGAAAATGTGCCCTCCAAAAACCAAGTGAAGGAGAACCTGAAAGTGGACACTCTACCTGGAGAGCTGTGCAGATATCTTTCACGGGAGCTATGCAGTCTGCAGTATTTTGTTCTGGTGTTCCAGGAAGATTAATACAGCAATACTTGCTCTTTATCTTTTTAAGGTTTTTATCCTATGTCTCTGTATCCTAGCACATCTCTTCATCTATTCAAATGCCAGAACAGGACTCTTCAATGAAAGTAACAATAACTTCTTATTTGAAAGATGTATATACTACAGAAACAGCAAGGTAACAGCCATAATATTTATGCAAAAGACCCAGTGAATGGGAGCATGTATGTCTTTGATTTTTATTTTTTTATTTTTGTCTGCTCTTGGGACTCTTTTCCTCCTATTGGGTTGCCTTGGCCAGCCTCACAATGAGAAATGTTGTCTTTTCTTACTGTATCTTGTTTTGTTGTGTTTTATTGTTTTTCTCTTAGAGACCTGCTTTTTTTGTTTTCTGAAGGAAAAAGGGAGGACAGGGAGTGGATCTGGGAAAGAAGGGAGGTCTGGGGAGCTGGGAGGACTGGATGGAGGAGAAACTGTGGTCAGGATGTATCATATAAGAAAAGAATCTATTTTCAGTAAAAAGAAAGACATGTGTTCTAATCCTGCCTTGGCTATATTGTTTTCAACAAAACAGTTGCCTTTTTAAGCCAAAGGCAACAACATAAATTATCACTGAATGAGGAACATGAAGCTTGGGGAGGATTATTGCCAACAAATGCATACTATTTGCACGACTTCGGTTTGAGATTCTCTGCGTGTATTTCCTCCAGCTTATTGTGTTTTATAATAAAATCAAGAAAAAATTATTTTTTCAGTTTTTTTTAGTAATGCTGTTTCTTTATTCCCTATCAGAATTAGTTCAATCATTTCCTAATACAAATAATAGTGACCTTGTGGCACATCCTAAACATGGACTGTGTGTGCTGATTACACAATGAAGAAAAAATAATGTCAAAGATAAAATACTATCCTATCTGTACTTCTGTAATGTGAGTTAGTGACAGCTGTTACTAAGAAAATAAAATTAAAAGAGGAAATAGGGAATGTAGGAGTATACATTGATCACTTGCTTCTCAAGGATCCTGTCCTTAGCTGGAGAATGGCTTATTTGTCATTAAAACCTATTATTTTTAAAATTTATTTATTTAATCACTTTACAGCCTGATCACAGCCCCTTCACTTTTCTCCTCCCAGTCCTGTTCTCATGCCTCCCTCCTTCCTAGTTCCCCTTCGCCTTCTTCTCAGAGGTACCATTAGTTGGTACCCATTAAGGAAGCCCTTACCAACCCACCCTGGTACCTCAAGTCACAGAGGGACTAAACACATCTCCCACTGAGCCAGACAAGGCAGCCCAGTTAAGGAAAAGGGATCCAAAAGCAGGCAACAGGATTAGATAGCTCTTATTCCCATTGTTAGGGAATCCCCATGATGACCAAGCTGCACATCTGCTACATATGTAGGGGGTCTATGTCTGATCTGTGTAAGCTCTTTGTTTGGTGGTTCAGTCTCTGTGAGGCCCCATGGGCCCAGGTTGGTTTACTCTTTAGGTCTTTTTTGTGGAGTTCTTGACCTCTCTGGCTCTCTAAGTTTTTGCTCCCACTCTTTCACAAAACTTTCTGAGCTGGGCCCATGTTTGGCTGTTTGTCTCTTCATCTGTTTCCATCAGCTGCTGGATGAAGCCTCTCAGAAAGCAATTGTGCTAGACTCCTGTCTATAAGGATAGCAGAGTATCTTTAATAATGTCAGGGATTGGCTCTCTCCATGGGGTGAGTCTCAAGTTGGGCCAATCAGTGGTTTGCCATTTCCTTGTCCTCTCTTCCATCTTTATCCTTATATTTCCTGTAGGCAAGGCAAATTTTATGTTGAAGATTTGATGGGTGGGCTGGTATTGCTCTGGCTGACACCTTCAATGAATGGGATAGTTCTATGCAGATCTCCCCCTTTCTACACCTGAGGGAAAATGCCGGCTTCTGTATTTATCAATTGTTGTTCAACCATGTCACTCTTACTACTTAGGCACAGCAGATCAGAGATGGAGGGAAATAAGTTCTTGATCAATGTACATTAAAAAAAAAGGATTTGATTCTTTATTCATTTTAGTACATTGAGCAAAATATTTGATCTGTACAAGCTTGGGCTCCATATACAATAAAAATGCCTGTAAAATAATTAAGGAAGTAAAAGCAACCCAAAGTAACATACCAATACTTGATAAACAAGGTACTTTTTGACCTGCATTTGTACATCATGAAAAGGAGCCAATGTAGCAATCTAGTATGCTCATTTGTGGACAAGAAAAATGAATTTCAATAAATAGAATATTTGATTCTGAAACAGTTATTACTAACCACCACAAGGTTTTCAGTTGTTTATCTTTCCTGAGGCCTTTCTGGGTATGAGCAAGCTCATAGGTGAGAACAGTCAAAGAATGTGTAAGAGCTGCAAGATTCACATCTCCTGAAATGTTGTCCTGGTTTCTAGAAGAGCAGTCTATATTGTATACGGGAAACTTACTGAAAAGGTACAACACCAGAAGACTTATGATAGTCAGGGCACTTAGCCAGAGAGGAAACTAGCTAATAAAGTCAACTTTATACAGTTTACTGAGAAGACATAATGCACTATAAATTTTAAAAAAATGATAACACCCCAGAAAAACCAATATTGATTTCAGAGGGGCTCTCATTCTCATATAATCAGTAGTAACTAATATTTGTGATATGATTAATTTTCCCATAAGAGTAAACAAAAGACATAGTAAATCTTGCACTATATTGAAGACCAGCTGAGACATCTAAGCTTGTAGACTGAGCAAGTACTAGGTTCTTCGACCTTCTGTTCATAGGCATTCATTTTTGGATTAGCTGAACCACAGCCTGTAAGTCATTCTAACAAATCCCATATAGATGGATAGATATATAAACAGATAGATAGATGATGAACAGATGATAGGTAGATGATATGTTTAGATAGATGAGATATACACATACACATGTATGTATGTATGTGTGTATGTGTGTGTAATTGTGTAGAGATTCATTCTATAAGTTCTATTATTTTAGAGAACACTAATGCACAAAAATTTTCCAACTAGCCTTGAACGAGACCCCTCTTATGCAATAATCAGATCACCATGTTACTAAGAGAAAGCAATCTCTTCATAGTTGTTCTTGACTTCACCATCTCTAATAATACAACAGATCAATTTTTGACCAAAACTAAGGCAAAATAAATCACGCACAATTAAAGTTGCCTTATAAGATTCAAATAGCTAAGCCAGAGTTGAGAGTTAGCAGCAACTGAAGGAGGAAGACAGCTCAGTGTTGTATTTCTGAGGGAGTCACTTAGACAGCAATATAAACACACCATCCATTTTCTTGCAGGTACACTTTACAAGGAGCTGTAAAATGGATGGAGGGAGAAAGCTTTATTTCCAGGATGAGGCCCTAATCCTATGTGGTCAGCCCTAAATACTTGAAAACTAGGCCAAAAATAATTAGACTTCATAGTGTGTGTGTGTGTGTGTGTGTGTGTGTGTGTGTGTGTGTGTATTGCAAAAATATTTGTAGAAAAAGAGGTAATGAGGAGGGTATGTAGGGACTTAAGAGAACTTGTAATATGAGAGAAAAGGATTAGAAGTGATGTAAATACAATGTGTTCATATATGAGATGCTCAAATAAAGAAAAGGAAAACAACAGTTTGTGTGCTGAGATTATCATTTCTTAATTCACTTTTCTAAAACTGTGACTTCAAATTCCCTCAGAACTCTGAAACTCCGCCTGTCAGCATGCCTAAGAACAAGATTGTTCTCTTACACTTCTCATTGTTGCTTTTTCCTTCTTTCTTTCTTTCTTTCTTTCTTTCTTTCTTTCTTTCTTTCTTTC